AATGCCCAGCAATATCATCAATTCAACAAGCAGTTACTCGAAATTCCATCGCCCCAAATGGCATAGGATACCTCGGGCGTCCAACTTCTGGCATAAGTTTTTGTGCATTCAAAAATTTAGGAACCTGAACCACAAGGGCAAATGGAAGGCACCTTTGATCGGTAATCCAGGTAACCTCAGCTTCCCCACTACTATACATCTAGACTTCTGCCCGTTTATCTCTTCTGCTAAACTATAATATAGTGAAGCATCAAAGCTCATACGATTTTTCCCTTGTTTGTGCAGAGTACATGGATGATTCTTACACCTATGCTTTTGATAGGCTGATGCACATTGGCGTTGAGCCAAGGTAGGTTAGTGCTTCACAAGGACCAGCTCTAAGCATGACTTGTGCAGATATGGGAAAGAAGCCTAGGTAGGCCTCCTTTCTGAAGAAAAAATATATATGGGAAAGAAGACTAGATGAAAAATCTTGGGGAAGACTTTGGTGAACAAGAACAAGGTGAATTTTATCTGTTCAACAAAATCAAGTTTGTTCCTGCACTTTGATGTTATGAATCACTGTGTAGTAAGCAGGAGTGCTTCTCAATCAATATTTTATATGTTTGTTAGAAATTGAAGAAACAAATATCTATCTGGCAGTCTATAATGTTTTGAGGCTGGTTCATTGCTACACATATAGTGTAGAGCTTCCTAAAAATTGGAGGGGACTTGTTGTAGCCTTATAATGTATTATCTCGGGTATTACATTTCTCATTCCATTTGCCAACATTTTGAATGAGTTTAAATGTTAGCACTCTTAGACAATTGACAATGTTTATTCAAAAGATTATACTGCAGTTCTACGTGAGTTTCTCATCATAATTCTTTAAATTTCAAATCAGATACAAGTGCAACAAAATATTGACATGACAAGCTACTGAGCTCTCACATTTGAATGCTAATGTTCCTTTGTAGACATGGGTTTATTACCATGGTGCTAGCATTAGGTTCAACCTTCTAAACTTTTTTTGGCTTTTCTTTGTTATTTCGTGTCTTCTCGCGGTCTATTTTCTATTATATAAAAAATAGTATTTTTTCCATTTAGCTTCTTCATGGTCAACATGATTCACTAATAGCATGGGCTGGAATTCGTATTGGCTTTGTACAGAGGAATAGCAGTTTCATATTTCTCATACTTGCTTTCCATGTTATTCTGTTGCTGGCTCATAGTTTCACCAATTTACAGTAGCAGGCTTCCAGCTATCTTATGGTTCTATATTTTGTGCATTATTTATCTCTCATGCATAAGAAATTACGCTATACAGAAAGTTGACTTTCAAGAAACAATTATTCCACAACACTTTACGTGGATTCTAAAATGAACATTGAATGTCAAGAAACATTTATTCCAGAAAGTTGCAGTTTGCTTAGGAAACATATAATTCTTGTTGTAAGTAATAGTACTACTATAACAACTTTTTCGTATTTTTAATTTATATTGGGTGTTGTCATGGTAAGAGACACTTTTGTATTGTGCATATATTTCTTGCTATTTGTTTTCCATCTTGTTGAAGTTGGTAAAATATTTAGACGTCACCTACCCGAGTTTCTGAATGAATGTTGAAGTTTTGTTTGTTGATCTGATAATATGCTAGCCTAGCATCGAACATATTAAAAAATACAACTGAAATTAATGTATTGTGTAATCATGTACATATGTTTGCCTATTCTCTTGTTAGGTGGCATCAACTAAAGCAAGGCTTGGTTTATAAAATGGATGCAAAGCAATTAACATGTTGAATTTTACATGGGAGGAGGGGGTGCACTATATCCTCCATATGACTTTATTCACCAGTTGCTATGTATATTCCTGTTTCCTTTGGCAAGAAATGTATATTCACAGAACTACTTAATTTGAAAACCATCATGTTGTTATATCTTGACACTTGGGCTTGTGATATAATTCTTGTGTATTCTGAAGTTAAAACACACACAGTACAAACGCCAATGTTTACAAACAGGTACACACACTCATCCTTATGAACGCATGCATGCACACTCTACCCATATGAGCACCTCCAAGATACTGAGCCAGTTGGTCTTGAGATTATCGACAAAAACATCGCCCACCATGACAATCGTCACTGTTTTCAAATGTATGTGACAATGAGAGAATATTAATGTGAGGTGTTTATTGAATTCATGCTCCAGCCAACTCATCAAAAAAATCTGAACTGATGAAGCGAGATGGACAATATATTTCAACTAAATGTAATGCACTATCACGTTTAGGCTTATTTAGTGCTTAGATGTGTGATCGATGTAGAACGTAGGATCTTCTATTTTAATACTAAGTTGGTGGGGTCTTGAACTCAAAAGACCTCTTGGCTTGGATACCATATTGATTCATGCTTCAGCCAACTTATTCAAAAGTTTGAACTAATGAAGAGAGATGGGCAATATATTTCAACTAAATGTAATGTACTATCATCCGTTGATGGAAATGATATGAACAATGAAAGAGAAGAGAGATGACTATGTGATAGCAAGGTCGGAGGTGAGGTCCAAGGTTTGTCAGAAAATAGGAGGCAGCTAGGGAGAATTAACATTTTTTTTACGGGAGAATGAACATGATGTCACGTCTTGTTGCGATGGTGAATATGGAGGAAATGGAAAGGAACGAGATATGAAATGTTACCTTATGTCTTCCCACAATCTTGGTATATATCTAAAAGTATATATTACCTGTATATGTAGAAAAGTTGAGGGACAACATCTTCATGGAGAAGATAAAAGATGGCCACAACTTATGCTCTTGGACTCATCTATATTTCTCTTGTGCCCGTAGCAATGCACGAGCATTCTACTAGTGTTATATAAGCCATGGGCTGAGCTAGTCGATACATCATCATACAATCCATTAGTTCATTGTACTTCGTGCACCCTAATTGTAATATATATACACAAGACATAAGTAGGGTTTTACCTCCACCAAGAGAGCCGAAACCTGAGTAAACTCGCCTCCTTATTTCCCCTTCGGACAAATCATCACACCCGGATAGCCTACTGATGGATCTACCGGAATCATCCGCAGAGGGAAAAGTTTTTTTATTAAAAAGGCAATATAGATTCACCACTTAAAGTATAAGGATGATTCCAGCACAAGAGCCAAAAGCAAGCAGCCATACATTATAGACTTCTTATATGGTTAAGATTAATCTTTCACCACATATACGTAGCCGTTTTTCTCTTAGAAAATATTAAGCACATCCATAACCATCAAGCAATGAATCCGTGCATGCATACATACTTACTAGCAAAATGGCCCGTGTGCTGCAACGGGAGAAAAAATAAATCATAATCTCCAGTGCCATGATCATATTTTGCTGCATCACCGAAATACACTATCACTCTAATTTTCATGAAATCACGAACATTTTTTGAAAATCATGAACATTTTTTTAAACTCATGTACATATCTGGACATTTTTACAAATTTTCGACCATTTTCTAAAATCATTAAAAAATGAATTCTTGAACATTTTATGCTATTTGCAAAAATAAATTGTGAATATTTTTTAAAACATTTTTCTTGAATAGGCAACCATTTCTAGAATCGACACACATTTTATTGGAAACTGCTGGAACAGTTTTTGAAATTCATGAACATATTTTTGATTTATCGGACATTTTTTTAAATGCACGATCAGTAACTGAATCAGCAAACATTTTATGAACGACTAAGCTATTTTGTAAGTCACGGACAGTTTTTAAAATTTTAGGATATTTTTCAATTCATGAACATTTTTTGAATGGGCAAAATTTTGTTCAATTTAAAAAAAATTATTTAATACACGAACTTTTTAAAAAACCATGAACATTTTTTTGATTTCCCGAACATTTGTTTTGAATATTGTGAATATTGTTTGCGTGAACAATTTTTAAAAATCACAAACATTTTTTAAATCCAGAAACATTTATCAATTTTATTTTTTTGAAATTATCATTTTTTGAAATTTTTGGAAGGTTAGTGAATTTTCAAATTATTTAAAGTAGACAAAACAAAGACGGAAAGGAAAACTAAAAGAAAAAAACGAAATTTAGGAAACAGGCCGCCCGGACATGGACCGGCCAAACAGGTCTTCGCCCAGTGCGCACTATAGAAGGTTCCTACTGCATAGGCCGGCCAGGCAGGAATTCCCCCGTGTGAAAACCTATTTTTATCACTTGACATCGGTGGATAATATTTTGTAACTTTTGGGGCAATTTTGGCCACGTGCCATCAGAACCAATAGCCCTTTATTGTTAGATTAAAATTAGATTAGATATAGATATATAGTTGTATATATTGTTTATATTAAAAAGTTGTGTGTTTTGAGTCATAATTTTTAAAATATTATTATGTCATTTACAAATTCGCATCAACTTTATTGATTATGGTTTATACCAAAATAGTTTGATACATATTGAAACTGAACCGTACTTTAATTTTATACCATATTTACCCAAGTATTACCAAGACATTCTATAAATCGAACCATGTAAATTAAATAAACTGAATGCACATAATTAATGTTGGGCACATTAAAAAAAGAGAAGGAGTTGAGACTCTCCGCCGCCACTAGCAGTCAACTATCAACGTTTGGGTTATGGTTTCGCAAGGCGAGAAATTCACTTATCTACACACTTAAAAGTACCATTTAAAAAACTGCTTAACAATACATTTTCTTATAGTGATACATAAAAATTAGTACTATATTTTATGGCTTCCTAGTATATTTCTTGGGCTTGCTAGTAAATTTATTTTCATGGTCTAAATAAAATTATATTCTTACAAATTAGTACTTATGACTAAACGTTGGCACCTAGCCACCTACTCCCTTCGTTTGGAATTATTTGTTTTGGAAATAGATGTATCTAGAACTAAAATACACGTCTAGATACATCCATTTCTGCGACAAGTAGTTTCGAACGGAGGGAGGACTTCGTCTCGCTCCAGAGATCACGACCTAAGGCCCATGCCTCGCTTCTCTTCCACCACGTCAATGTCGTCACTCCGCCTCCGCCTCCGCCTCCGCCTGCACGCCTGCCACTCCTCCTCGGCCTCGCAACCCTCACGCAGCCAGGGATGGGATCCCCACGCCGCCTTCGCCGTCGCCACGGAGTGTGCGCGCTCCGGCAACCTCACCCCGGAGGGCGCACATAACCTGTTCGACGAATTGCTGCGGCAGGGCAATCCTGTCCTGGGGCGCCCCCTCAACAACCTTCTCGCCGCCCTCGCCCGTGCGCCGGCGTCCAGCTCCTGCAGAGATGGCCCTGCACTCGCGGTCGCCCTCTTCAGCCGCATATCCCAAGGCGCCCGCCTAAGGGTGGTGCACCCAACGGCCTGCACCTACAGCATCCTCATGGACTGCTGCTGCCGCGCGCGCCACCTGGATCTGGCACTCGCCTTCTTCGGCCGTCTCCTCAGGACTGGGCTGAAGGCAGGCGCCATAGAAGTCAACATTCTTCTCAAGAGCCTCTGCCATGCAAAGCGGGCAGATGAGGCCATGGAAGTGCTTCTTCACAGGATGCCTGAGCTGGGTTGCACCCCTGACTCGGTGGCGTATAACACGGTCATCCACGGGTTCTTTAAGGAAGGCCAAGTAGGCAGAGCAATGGACAAGGCGGAGTATTTCCTTCGTGAAATGGTTGATAATGGTGTCATACCTAATAATGTGACATATAATAGCCTCATCCATGGATATTCCTCTTCAGGCTATCAGAAGGAGGCGGTTAGGGTGCTGAAAGAAATGACAAGTCAGGGTATCATACCAGATGTTTTTACTTGCAACTCGCTCATGGCCTCCCTTTCCAAGAATGGAAGAAGCAAAGAAGCTGCAGAAATTTATGACTCCATGGCCATGAAGGGCCTGGAACCTGATATCGTCTCGTATAATACTCGGCTTCACGGGTATGCCACCGAAGGATGCTTAGTTGATATGACTAATCTCTTTAATTCAATGACTAGAGATGGTATTCGGCCTAACTGTCACACTTTGAACATATTGATTAATGCATATGCTAAATTTGGCATGATGGATGAGGCTATGCTTATATTTAAAGGAATGCGGAAACAGGGAGTGAGTCCAGATGTAGTCACCTATTCAACCGTAATACATGCATTTTGCAAAATGGGTAGCTTGGACATTGCTATGGACAAATTTAAGCAGATGACTGATATGGGAGTACGACCGAATCCAATTGTTTATCATTCCCTAATCCAGGGTTTTTGTACACATGGGGATTTAGTGAAAGCAAAGGAGTTGGTTACTGAAATGAGGAACAAAGGTATGCGTCCTCCTGATATTAAGGTCTTCCATTTGGTGATGCAGAACCTATGCACGGAAGGAAGGGTAACAAAAGCACGGGATATCCTTGACTTGATAGTGCGCATTGGTATGAGGCCTGATGTTTTCATATTTAATATACTGATCGGTGGATACTGCCTAGTCCGCAAGATGGCAGATGCATCAAAAATATTTGATGATATGGTGTCATATGGTTTAGAACCTTCTAATATTACATATGGTATACTTATTAATGGCTATTGCAAAAACAAAAGGATTGATGATGGGCTGATTCTATTCAAAACAATGTTGCACAAGGGACTTAAACCTACAACTTTTAATTATAACGTCATACTGGATGGATTATTTCTGGCTGGACGAACAGTTGCTGCAAAAGAGAAGTTTAATGAGATGGTTGAATCTGGAGTAAGTGTGTGCATTGATACATGCTCTATAGTTCTTGGTGGACTTTGTAAAAATAACTGCAGCAGCGAAGCGATCACCCTGTTACGGAAATTAAGCACAATGAATGTGAAATTTGATATTACAATTGTCAATATCATTATTGGTGCATTCTACAGGGTCAAGAGAAACCAAGAGGCTAAGGATTTGTTTGCTGCTATACCAGCCAATGGCTTGGTTCCTAATGCTGTTACCTACACCATAATGATGACAAATCTTATAAAAGAAGGTTCAGTGGAAGAAGCCGACAATCTTTTTTTATCAATGGAGAAGAGCGGCTCTACTGCAAACTCTTGGATGTTAAATCATATTATCAGAAGGTTACTGGAAAGAGGAGAGATAGTCAAGGCTGGAAATTATATGTCTAAAGTTGATGTAAAGAGCTACTCACTTGAAGCTAAAACTGTTTCACTGCTGATCTCTCTGTTTTCAAGGGAAGGGAAATATAGAGACCACATCAAATTGCTCCCTACAAAGTATCAGTTTCTGGAAGAAGCAGCCACAGTTGAATAGTTGGTATATCACATGGGAGAGTGTCAGTCGGCCGAGCCGTTCACTCCTGCCAGGATCCTTAGCCTGGCCTCACATGGAATTGAGTCGACCAACCCCTGGCAGTTTCAGGTGGCCCCATTGAAGATGCAATCATTTCTCGGCCAGTGTACCCCTTGTCAGTGCCTGCGTGCCCCTTGTGTCTGGTTCGAGAAGGAATTTGAAGAAGCTGAGCAGGATCCGGAGCTTGACCGGCTTGAGATCTACGCCGTCGAAGCCAGATTGAGGTTAGATAATCATAACATGGTACTAGAGAGGTGTTTTGTTGACTGTTGTGATGGCTCTTGATGATCTGGTTAGGGTGATTTGTGAAGAGGCAGCATGCAAAAGTCTGAATAATATCTGCTTGTGTTGTTATTTTTGCAGCTTCCAGTCTTCTTTCCTCATACAAGTTATATGGATCCAGTTGTAGTAGCACCCTGTACGTTGTCTTTTTGTATATGCTGGCATTGATTATGAGGTGTACAGGTTTAGTTTAGTGCCGGGCTCCAATTTTCTTTGGTTCTGATCGATTCAGCACCATGTTGAGTTTAACCCTGCAACTTTGCTTAGCGATCATGCTGGTGTTAAGGCTGGGAATCGCAATATCAACTTTTTTAGCAGTTGAATTAAAGATACCCTGTGTTGTTGCACAAACTGACGCAGATCAATGTTCAGAGGTAATATGGTTCTGCCCGTAATTTTCATTGACTGTCAGCATGTTCCTTTTTTATTCATTACTCTGTATATCACGGCGGTATGACTATAATAAGGATATATGGCTGATGCATTTTGAACTTCTCTGTTCCTTGGGACAGAACAGAGCTGAATTATTTATTCTTTTTGGCTTTGGTAGTATGAACAGAAAGCAGGCAATAATAAACTGATATGTTGTACTCCTAAAACGGGGTCATTATTATCACCCATTTTATCCAACAATAGTGTACCCTAAAATTACAGATTGGTTCATTCATCTCATACCTTTTTTTGAGAGAGTCGGATTTTTGTGAGCTTTGCCATGGTTCTCTCCTCTGTTCCTTGGTACATTTTGTTACTGTAGAACAATTGGTGTGCTTCTTTTCTTTTAGCTGTATGTTGTAGAAACGCGGAACCTGGTTATTTCATTATATTCGATGCCTAATTTATTTTCTGTTACGAGGGTCAAGTTCAGCATTTTATTTTATCTTCTTCCTTCCTCACAATTTTACATTTACTCACTGAGCAGTGAAGGTTTGGACCTGAAATTCTTGTAGTACTAATTTAGCAGAACCGCTCTTTGAGAAAATGGCTTGTGAAGGTCTTGGACACTACTAATATGGCTTATCTTGGGTCTTAATCATATTTTCTCTGAACAAACAGGTGTGACACATACATGGAAAGAACCCCAAGAAACATTGCACATTTGGTTATATGTCTATGAATGCTTTTTTATGAACAAGAATTTGGTAATATTTTGAGAGATTTATTTTGGCTCTGAAGCTCAAGTCATCCTTTTATTTGGAAAAATGTATATGTCACACCGATGTGTAAGAATACTAGTGTAATATTTTGAGAGTATTTCGAAAACTTCAGGCGGGAAATCTCACATCGAAGTGTAAGAATACACCATGAATTTACAAAATTCAGGAAAACTCTTTTGAACCATGAGCTGTACAAATGAGAAAATGGCAAATAATTTTGCCTTTTTCTTTGTGCAGCTATCAAATGGATACATTTTCTATTAAAATTTTGTAGATCACACGTATACTGTGAACTATGCGCCGCATCTTCATCAACGCCGGCATGGTCCTGGGCTTGAAGTATCCGAAGTCCCTGGAGGGCATCTCGTCGGTTACACTGGATCTGAATGCGGCTCAAAGCAATGGGCAAGGCAGAGTATTTCCTTCGCCAGATGGTTGATAAGGCATAGTACCTGATAATGTGACATATAATAGCCTCATCCATGGATATTCCTCTTCAGGCCATCGGAAGGAGGTGGTTAGTTTATTCAAGGAAATGACAAATCGGAGTGTTACACCAGATGTGTGTACTTACAACTTGTTGATGACCTCCCTTTACAAGAATGGAAATAGCAAAGAAGCTGCACAATTGTTCTATTCAATGGCCACGAAGGGCCTGAAACCTGACACCGTTTCATATGCTATTCTCCTTCATGGGTATGCCACTGAAGGATGCTTGGTTGACATGATCAATCTCTTCAATTCAATGGCAACAGACTGTATTCTACCTAACTGTCATATCTTCAACATACTGATTTATGCATATGCTAAATCTGGGAAGCTTGATAAGGCTATGCTTATATTTAAAGATATGCAGAAACAAGGAGTGAGTCCAGATGCAGTCACATATTCAACCGTAATACATGCATTTTGCAAAAAGGGTAGGTTGGATGATGCTGTGATAAAGTTTAATCAGATGATTGATACAGGAGTACGACCGGAAGCATCTGCTTATCGTTCCCTAATCCAGGGTTTTTGTACACATGGCGATTTGGTGAAAGCAAAGGAATATGTTACTGAAATGATGAAGAAAGGTATGCTTCCTCCTGATATTATGTTCTTCAGTTCAATCATGCAGAAACTATGCACAGAAGGAAGGGTAATAGAAGCACGAGATATCCTTGACTTGATAGTGCGCATTGGTATGAGGCCTAATGTTTTCATGTTTAATATACTGATCGGTGGGTACTGCCTAGTCTGCAAGATGGAGGATGCAACAAAAATGTTTGAGGATATGGTGTCATTTGGTTTAGAACCTTGTAATATTACGTATGGTATACTTATTAATGGCTATTGCAAAAATAGAAGGATTGATGATGGGCTTATTCTGTTCCAAGAGATGCTGCACAAGGGACTTAAACCTACAACTTTTAATTATAATGTCATACTGGATGGGTTATTTCTGGCTGGATGAACTGTTGCTGCAAAGGAAAAGTTTGATGAGATGGTTGAATCTGGAGTAAGTGTGTGCACTGATACATATTCGATAGTTCTTGCTGGACTTTGCAGAAATAATTGCTCTAGCGAAGTAATCATGCTGTTCCAGAAATTAAGGGCAATGAACATGAAATTCAATATTAGAATTGTCACTATCATGATTGATGCCTTCTACAAGGTTCGGCGAAACCAAGAAGCTAAGGATTTGTTTGCTGCAATACCATCCAATGGCTTGGTAGCTAATGTTGTTACCTACAGCATAATGATGAAAAATCTTATAAAAGAAGGTTCAGTGGAAGAAGCTGACACTCTCTTTTTATCAATGGAGAAGAGCGGCTGTACTGCAAACTCTTGGATGTTAAATCATATTATCAGAAGGTTACTGGGAAGAGGAGAGATAGTCAAGGCTGGAAATTATATGTCGAAAGTTGATGCAAAGAGCTACTCACTTGAAGCTAAAACTGTTTCGCTGCTGATCTCCCTCTTTTCAGGGAAAGGGAAGTATAGAGAACACATAAAATTGCTCCCTATGAAGTATCAGTTTATCGAAGAAGCAGCCACAGTTGAATAGTTTGATACATGATCTCTGAACTCAACTCCTAGAAGTTAACTTGGATTGTTGCTTGCCATGGGTCCTTATGCTTGTACAACAAATGCATTTTCTGTTTGGTAAATAGAAAGCCAGTCCTAAATTCTGTCACTTTTTGTTAAGTTCGTAATGCGCTGAAATAACTATTTTTTCCGTTAGTTATTGTGAGTAGTATCTGAAATTTCCTATATTTTTGTTTCTCAGGCTTATCACAATCTCAGTATTATAGTTTCTGCAGTTAGTGAAAGAAGATCTATTTCTAGTAACATGAAAGCTTCCATAAGGCTTGTGTTCCACTTCTCACTTGCTGTTTTGAGGCTGCTTGCATACATTTTAGTCGTTTCTTTGCCACTTGGTAAGTATAATTGCAACTGCATAATACTTTTTCTACATTGTACAATTCACATTCAGTTACTGGAAAACTTGTGCCCCTTGTGAGGATTCTGAGTGTCTTTGCTTCACTGCTTCAGATATATGATATCGTCAAATATTGGTAAAGTTTTGGGCACTTGGAGATGCCGGACTTCATCATTGTCAAGGCTTCTATCTGAAAATTGGACTACTGCATCCGCGAGGATCCTGCGGGCACTGACTGTGCTCTTGAGATCTAGAATGCTGGCAACGGCATGGTTGGCCGCACAGAGAAGGAGTCTACCTGATGAAATGCAGAGAGCAAGACTATGTCCAATTCAGAGGTGTTGTGCATCAAATTGATTTTAAATGAATACACGTGCTCAGGTCGAAGGTGAAGCTGGGATGGCACTATGTTTTGTCATGAAAAGGTGTTAAGGCTGAAAAGGTGAATCCATTGACTATGTTTCATTGAGCTCTGAAGGTCATAAGGATTTTGTCCAAGGTTGCTGCCTATAGGAAAATCAGGTAACCATGCTTGATCCGTTCAACCAATTGAGCAGTGATAGCAATCTGGCCCTCAAATCTTTACCGTGTTTTTTTCCTCTGTTCCTCGTAGACAGAATGTAAAGCTCATGTGCTTCCTTTGAGCCTGATGTAATTCTGTATGCATGTATCATACCATTTTTTAAAGAGTTAAGCTCGAAATTTGGTCTTGTTGCTTAAACATCTTTCTGTACTTTGGTTACTTTGCATTTGCAGGGTCCTATCTTACAACTGTCTGTCAGAACGGCTTACATTTCTGTGCTTATTTAGTATTTACTACTCTGACTTGGAAGCTGCAATTACAGGTACATCATCCTCTCTAAGATCCATAATCACACGGGTACGTCTCATGCTGCCACGTTGCAACAAGCCAGCTAGGAGACGCTTGGTCGCACAGAAAATGAGCTCTACTCGGTTGACTACGCAGCACAATTTGGCAGTACCATGGGTGACGCTATGTATCATCAGTATCTGTCCCAAGTGGAAAGTCGCAAAGGGAATGCTGAACGGTAATCAGCTTGTGAAATGCATCATTGTTGGAGCTGAAAAGGTGGATCCACAGA